CATTTTGAAATCGGATGAATCTTTGAATCACCCTGTATGTGTAGCTTAACTTCAAATGTAAGTTATTGTGATAAGATTTTTTCCATTTGTTTCAATTTCTCCACTTGTTTCAGTGGGTCAGAAATAGTTCATATATAAACCTACAGCACTGTTGGGTGTGATTAGTCAGGGTCAGCAGAATTCTCCTGGGTCAGCAGGACTGTGGAGAGGCTGACCGGTCCTTATCACTCGTCTCCACAGCCAGGTTAACTAATTTGGTGTCATTTCATGCAGCAGCAGTAATTAAAGGAGAGAGAAGTGCCGTCCTCGGGGCTAATGCTCTCCACCAGACCGGCTCTGCTAAAGGTCAGGCTGCCCAGGGTTACGACCTTTGACCTCGGGAGGAGAAACTGTTACACTTTAGGATGTGCTGGGAGAGCCCACCTTTTCATGCGGGGTGTGTTTGTGTGTGCTGGGGGGGTGTATCATTAACTCCAGCTGAGAAAGAAAGAGGGGGGCGTGGCCAATGGAGTTGATGGGGGGACCTTAGCCCCGCCCCCCCGCTGGGCACTGGTGTGTGTGAAGCCTTTCTCCATTCACACGCCCTTTAGATTGTTTTATTAAAGCGTTTCAATGGGGATTTCCCCCCCAGTCTGCCCACCACACGCGGGGTCCGAGCGCCGCATAGTTTCTCTGTTGCTATGACTTAACTTTAGTCCCCGCTAATCACCGGCCGGGGCAAATTTCATATAAAATATCGGGGGTCCTTTTGTGGCTGTAACGTGGCGTGACAGTGAAAACACAATGGGGTGTTGAATCCCCCCAGCAGGTCGGCCGAGACCGCCGGCTCCAGGGTGGGCACACACACACTCCATTCACACACACGCTGTGGGTTTAATCTGGCTCGGCTCGGCGCATTCTTTCACAGGTAACAACCCCCCCACCTCTCTCTGAGGCGTCCCTCTACTGTAAACTGCACTTTTATATTTATATAATATACAACAGCACAAACATCCGTCTCCATTTATTTAATTTACGGTCAAAACAGCCGTTAGCACAAGTTATTGATTGTTCATGAGATGTTTCTGAGACGATTAGATGTAAAATAATCCATGAGGAAGGTGAAAATCTGCCTCCTAACAACCACCTGGAAGAGCTGGTCGACCCCAAAACTGCCCCATCAGATAAACAGCACTTAAAGCTTTCATCTCTGAGAGAGAGGAGAAAATCAAGCTGCTTCAGATCTGAAAACATCCACAGGCGTTTCTGTCCATCCTTCCACTGTGAGAAGACGACTCAGCGCTGTGGGTCTGAAAGGATGTGTAGCTGATCAAGAAGAACCTCACTGAGAAAAGGAGACGGACACATCAAACAAAGAAGCTGAACGATGGACTGACCACCCCAGAGTCCAGACCTCAACACCACTGAATGTGTTAGATTACTTCAGAAAATCATCAACCAGCTTCTAAGACTGAGATTCTTTGAGGAGCTGAAAGTGCGTCTCCTGAACAGAATGGAAGCTGGAATAAAAGGAAAGAGTGAAGACTTAGGAGGCGTCAGGTGCCAACATCCTATCAGGTCTTTGTCCATGTGATCACCTGCAAACTTCATCATCAAGACAAAGACGTAGTCCTAGTGGAGGGGTGCTTTCTGGTCAGATGAAACAAAAATTATGGCTGAGGCTGGTGAGGCTTCTAATCCAAGACCAGCATCCTAACTGTGAAACATGGCGGTGGCAGCATAACATTGTGAGAGTAAGGCAAAATTTACTGACAGGCTTGTGTAAAGACATACGACGTGGTGTGAAGAATGATGTTTCAGGCTTTACAGGCTGACTCACCATATTTTAGCTTGTTTTTATTCTCCTCACCATATTTTGTTCAACGTTTTCTCTCTCTTTGTCTCTCGGCCGTGTCACTGTCACCCTGACCTGCACTATAGTGGCTTCCTGATCATAAAAGTGGGCGTTTCAGTGGGGTTTATAGTGAAATGAATAGCACAGCCTTTCACACAGCTTTTCACAGCAGTCTACCACTGTTTACTGTTTACTACTAATGCCAGTCTGGCAGCCCTCTTAAACATGCCTTTGTTCTAATGTAACTGCAAAGCTGCAAATTTTTTATTCTGCAAACAACAAAGGATTTCAAGCAGCTACAGGATCAAATTTATTGGTTGATGATTCTGTTAAACTCGGACACTAACACTGTATAACGTGTACAGTCCTCCTTAATGTGTAAGGCCTTCAGTCCAGCTCGCTTGGCTGTAGATACCACAGAGAAAACAGTCCTGATTGGATAATTTTCTGTTGTCCAGTTCAAGATTGGAACTCTTTTATTTACAACCAAAAATGAACAATTCTATAAAATGAAAATGAACCTTTTTAATATCTACACATACAGTTCTTTCTACTGTTTTGTCTTTTTATCATGCTGTTGTTTTGTTTGATCAAACAAAGCTGAAAATTTGTAGCTTTTGTTTTGTTTGTAGCACAAACTGCCTTTCAAATGTAGAAAGCTCATGAATAGGAATTAAACTCTACTGTAGTGCAGAAATAAAGGTACTAAACTGTCACTGGGTCAGTGCCCCTCTTGTTACTAGGGTGGGACCCTCAGGGGTTCATCTCAGTACCTTTAGTCAGGGAACATAACTGAACCATAATCCACTGAAATGATATGTTCTAAGCTGTACTGACTCCACACACCCCGTCTCGCCTCCAGGCTTTTATTTTACTGTTCTGTTTAAAACATTCGGTTATGAAAAGGTACAAATACGAACTTTTCACCTGGAAAAACTTATTTAAGGTTCACAATCAGACCTTAAAACCACTGTTGGAGCTTTGAGGGAACATTTACACTGTTTGTACCTTGATGAACAAGAAATGCACCTGCACAGAACCTTTATTACTAACAATGCAGGCAGCTTAGAGCCTCTTTTATGCAGTGATAGGAAACACAGCAGCTCACAGTAAGCACCAATTCCACACCCTGATCCATTTTACTATCACCAACATGAACTACTCTGATTTTAATCCAGTAAAGAGGACAAACACAAACACCTGAATGGACGAGACAGGGTTAACCTGAGCCTGTGCTCGAAAATGCTTATATAACTTTGAACTGAAGCTTACAAATGGCAAAAAGCCTGACAACGATTAATATTCCAAGACATAAAAAGGCCCTTTATTGCTTGTCAGTTCGGAATAAAAGTGGGTTGGAGCTGGTAGCCAATTTTGCAACATCATTTTCCGCACCTTTAATTTCTCCAACCAGTTGAAACCTGCAGTGCAGAGAATGGTTTGATTCACTGTGTCCCCCCAGCCTTTTCCTTTGCTCTCCCACACGAGTGCAAGACTGCACAAGACCACAGCGGATTTATCACCATCAGCTATTCATACCGGCTCCGCGCCGCACACGGCTAAGGTTAGCCTAGCATCAGCTTCACGGGGCTTTTACTGAAGCGCGAAACATCAAAAAAAGCCAGACGCTCTGCTGTGTAATTGTTTGTTTTGGCTTTTTTTTCCCTTCTTCGGCTTTTTTAACCAGAAGAGAGGTTTTCCCCTTTAAAACGACGAGCGCTGAACAGACCCCTCCACTGTGTCTCTCACTGGTGAACAATAAGGAGCTGTTTAATCAAGCCTGTGTAATTACAGCCCTGTGGCCTCACTGTTTACCTGTCATTTAGCAGGATGTGCGCTTGATCCATGCTGACTCATCTCTCTGCCATGAGGAGCTGCTAACTCTGCCTCCGTCTAACCACACGCAGACAGAGCTGGGTGATATCATCGTTATCGGGGTGAACTAAGTCACGATTCGCTTTTCTGAGCCCAGGATTTAGATTTAGACTGGCTATAGAGGGAGCTGGAAACCAAAGGCCCAATAGAAAATCATCCAAATCAGAGAGTTCTTTCTGTGGTGTCTAGGTAGAAGCGAGCTCTACCATTGGTTAGGCCTTCAGGAGCTGGACTGAAGGCCTTACATGTTAGATTAACTACTAACATAAATACGAACTGACAGAATCAACCAAACATGTTTTGATTAATAATGAGATTAATTCAGAGAAAAAAAACATCACTCTAGTCCTTCTGGAAGTTCTTACGACGGAAGTTCTTTTAGGGCCACTGTTGAAAAAAATAAAAATAGTAGACTTTGAGAATAAAGTCGTAATATTTCAAGAAAAATGTCGGGATGTTTCACGGAAAAAGTTGTAATATTTTGAGAATGAGGTTGTAATATTCGGAGGATAAAGTGGGCTGCTGTACTGTAGGGGGGCTGCCATATCGCGTTGGGGTCTCCCACTCACTCCTGTCTCTCTTCAACACAGACAGACAGTTTCCTCCGAGTCCGTCTGGCTCTTTATTCTAGATAAACACAGTTTCCTGCTCAGCCGTTTCAGCCGTTTCTTATCCTAATAACAGGCTGGTGCTGATGAGCAGGAGAGACAGGGAGACTGAGTGTTTCTTTATGGGTGAATCGACTTTTTTCTCGAAATAGTACAACTTTTCCTTGTTGGGAATGGAAAACGGCAGCAGCAGCTCTCTGCAGGTCTCTTCACTGATATATACCGGCTCAGATACATGATAATGCCTGTTACACACTTCAAATGTCAATGTTGAATCTAGAACAGCCAAAAAGTGCTCATGTGTTAGTGCTAATGTACTACTAGAATCCCATAGGGGCGCTAGCAGAAACTAGCATTACTTTCTCTCATTTTTGATCATGTTTGACATTTATGGCCCAAGCTGAATTAATATTAATAGTTCAGCCACTGCTGCACTGTAACAAGTTGCTGATTGTATGGCAGCCCATTATGATACCATCGGTATTATGATGCTAACATCAAGATCATTATTGCTACCATTGAATTTGAAAATCATTTTAGATCTTTTTAAAAGTGTCATTACTGTGTTTCAGCTTCTAAGTTGCTCATGATCTGTATTACATACAGGTTTCATGCCCTTCATATGCCACAGTTTAAAAGATGTGTTCTCTAAGTATGTTTTTTGTCTCGCTCTGCCTCCACAGCCACGCGGGAGTCCGCGTTTGTCCACGCGATTGCGTCGGCGGGCGTGGCGTTTGCCGTAACCCGTGCGTGTGCTGAGGGTTCTGCCACCATCTGCGGCTGTGATACGAGGAGGAAAGGCCCGCCAGGAGACGGCTGGAAGTGGGGCGGCTGCAGTGAAGACGTGGAGTTTGGAAACATGGTCTCACGAGAGTTTGCCGATGCCCGAGAGAACCGGCCCGACGCTCGATCCGCCATGAACCGCCACAACAACGAGGCTGGGAGAATAGTGAGTGTTTACCACTGACTACCATTTTACCGAACACACTTTAGTACCAACAATCATTTCACTGAACACACTTTACTACTGACTACCATTTCACTAAACACACTTTACTACTGACTACCATTTCACTGAACACACTTTACTACTGACTACCATTTTACTGAACACACTTTACTACTGACTACCATTTTACTGAACACACTTTAGTACCAACAGTCATTTCACTGAACACACTTTACTACTGACTACCATTTCACTGAACACACTTTACTACTGACTACCATTTTACTGAACACACTTTAGTACCAACAGTCATTTCACTGAACACACTTTACTACTGACTACCATTTCACTGAACACACTTTACTACTGACTACCATTTTACTGAACACACTTTAGTACCAACAGTCATTTCACTGAACACACTTTACTACTGACTACCATTTCACTGAACACACTTTACTACTGACTACCATTTCACTGAACACACTTTAGTACCAACAATCATTTCACTGAACATGCTTTACTATTGACTACCATTTCGTGGGACATACTGTGCTAATCAATTCCATGTTACACTGAATACAGTGTACTATTGACTACCATCTCAAAGAATACACTTTACTACTGATTTGCATTTCACTGAAAACAGTTACTAACTACACTTTACTGCTGACTACCATTTTACTGAATACAGGTTACAACTGACTACTCTGACTACTACTACCATTTATTTAATACTTTTTGCTAATAACTACACTTTACTACTGACTACCATTTTATTGAATACTTTATAACAGTAACTACACCCAACTATCAACTACTAACTACACTATATTGTTGATTACCATGTCACTTTACTATTGGCTACCATTTTCCTTTATGCACTTTACTACTGGCTACCATTTCACCTAATACACTTCACCTAATCTACTGACTACTGTTTTACTGAATACAGTTGACTGCCATGTAACTGAATGTTATGTACTCGCCTACTGACTACCATTTTATTTAATACACTTTACCACTTGCTACCATTTTAGTGAATGTAATTTACTACTGGCGTCAATTTAATTTTTATCATTTTACCATCATTACCACCATTTAACTGTCATTTTACTGAATACAGTTTACCACTGACTACCATTTACTGAATACAGTGTAATATTTTTTTTCCATTTTACAACATAAACTTTACCACTAACTACCACCATCTACTACTATATTACTACTGACTAACATTTCACTGCCTACAGTTTGCCACTGACTACATTTCAATATAGATTACCATTTTACTAAATATAGTTTAGTTGTAAATATGCTTTACTAACTACAATTATGCTGCAGTTGATTACTGACTACACAATACTACCAAACATCATATTACTGATTGCAGTTTACTACTGACTACCATTTTATTGAATAGACTTTTTTGGTTTTACCTGGCTATAATGTACCACTAACTACCATTTACCTACACGGATGTGGGATACTGCATACAGTTTGCTGCTAATTACTATGCACTGCTGACCACAATTTTAGTGATTACAGCTGAGCACTGACTACAGTTCACTACTGAGCACTGTTTCCTATTGACCCTGAATTACGATTATCACCTTCTTTTCCTTTGACAACTGTTTTACTGCTGGTAACTGCAGACGCCTGACAACAGTGTCGTAATATCCACCTTTTACTTCTAATGAGTCTGACAGTACTCTGACCTGTCGGGGGTCGCTTTCTTTTTATTTGTTTAGCACTATCTTGCATGTAGACCCTAAATAATAAATATAGGAGGTAGACATACTAAAAAGCTTGACAGGTTAAAGTGCTTTAATAATAGAACGACTCTGTCGTGAATCCTTTTGCCCATAAACGTTCTGTTCCAGTAGTAGTCCCTCCCACTGAACACCTGTTTTACCTGTGTGTTACGTAATCTCTCTGTGTGTATTTATAGCCTCTGTTGTGTCACTTGTTTTGTGAAGTCTTGCTGTTAGTCATGTTCTCCAGTTTCGGTTTTTTACAAGGAAGTTAAATTGTTTTAGTTGGTGCTTCTCCTGCTTGTTTGGAGAGTTTTAAGAGTGTTGAAAATGCACTATTGAACAAAGTACACAACTGCAGCACATTGATTTCCATTTCACTGAAAACTGTTACCAACTACACTTTACTACTGACTACCATTTTATTGATTACTTTATATCAGTAACTACACTTTACTACTGACTACCATTTTATTGATTACTTTATATCAGTAACTACACTTTACTACTGACTACCATTTTATTGATTATATCAGTAACTACACTTTACTACTGACTACCATTTTATTGATTACTTTATATCAGTAACTACACTTTACTACTGACTACCATTTTATTGATTACTTTATATCAGTAACTACACTTTACTACTGACTACCATTTTATTGATTACTTTATATCAGTAACTACACTTTACTACTGACTACCATTTTATTGATAACTTTATATCTGTAACTACACTTTACTACTGACTACCATTTTATTGAAAACTTTATATTTGTAACTACACTTTACTACTGACTACCATTTTATTGATTACTTTATATCAGTAACTACATTTTACTACTGACTACCATTTTATTGATAACTTTATATCTGTAACTACACTTTACTACTGACTACCATTTTATTGATTACTTTATATCAGTAACTACACTTTACTACTGACTACCATTTACTGAATACACTTTACTACTATCCATCCATCCATCATCTAAACCGCTTATCCTTCTGGGTCGCGGTGGGGTGCTGGAGCCTATCCCAGCTGTCATCGGGCGGAAGGCAGGATACACCCTGGACAGGTCGCCAGTCCATCGCAGGGCAGACAAACAGACATATACATCCACACACTCACACCTAGGGGCAATTCAGCACGTCCAATTGACCTGACTGCATGTTTTTGGACTGTGGGAGGAAACCGGAGTACCCGGAGGAAACCCACGCAGACACGGGGAGAACATGCAAACTCCACACTTTACTACTAACTACACTATATTGTTGATTACCATGTCACTTTACTATTGGCTACCATTTCACCTACTACACTTTACTACTGGCTACCATTTCACATAATATACTTTATAGGAGGTTAATTTGTTTGGAGAGTTTTTTAAGAGTGTTGAAAATGCACTATTGACTGGGGTTCAATCCTCCACCTATGCAAGCATCTTACACTATACTTTTAAGAGTCCTTGGGCAAGACTCCCAACACCACCTTCACCTACCTGTGTAAATGTGAGTTGTGAGTCACACTAGAATCATTTTATTAAAACCAACTACAATAAAACATTGTGCTATGATCCCTAGTACCACATTGGAAAGATCAAACTGTGGACAGCACCAAAGAAAAGAACAAAAACAGCACATAACCATGTTTGTCTACTCCCAAACAAATAGTACCTGGCTAGAACAAGAGCTAGCCACACTTCACTTCAATTAGCCAACAATAAAAAGTACTTGGAACAGTGTCCACTCTTTGACCGAGGGAACTAGACAGAGTAGACTCCTATGTAGTGCAAATGTACAGGTGTACCTTCTTACCTGTTTGAACCCCCAGGTGGTGCAAATTAAGCAGCTCTTGTAAACCGAGTTAGGAGTGCTTAGAATGAAGAGGCTATCTTGTCGAACAAAACCTTGTAACTTTTTCAGTAGAATAAAAAAAAGTTCTTAGCTTTTAATGGAAGTTAACAAAAAAGTTTTTTTGAGTATTTCTGGATTTCTGTTGGTCCATTCATCGTTCAATTTCCACACAGTGTACAGGGCAGTTGGTATTGTCAAATAAACTGTCCCGACAGAGATGATAAATGTGTTTATATGTGCAAACCAGTTCTGCGATAGACTCTGATAGGACAGTTGACCAGCCAAAAGCATCTTGAGCCCAACTCTCGGAGGGCCTATTCTTTTACCAGGGTGCAGCGTGGAAGGGGGTAGGAGGGGTGGACTGGGGTTTTAAACAAGAAAAACAGGCCCTGGAGACCTCAGCAATTGTGCTGAGGAGAGAAAGAGCAGGACAGTTGACTAGCAAAAGTATCTTGGAGATACAAGATAGTTTGGCCAGGCTTTAGCTGTAGTGCCCCCTTGATGCTCAGCTTGCGTTTGCATTACTTAATGAATTGCATCGTGACACATTTTACAATGCAATGACACGTCCAAGTGTTTGCCATCACGTGCTTGTATGAAGTATGTTTCTGGTCTTAGGGCAACTTTGCGAACCTTGATTAAGGCTTCAATAGCAAATAAACTCAAAAAGTGATTCTGACATTGCTACATCTAAAATCATTGTCCTGTCTTCTGTTCCTCTCAGTCAATCACCGATCACATGTACCTGAAGTGCAAGTGTCACGGGCTGTCAGGCAGCTGCGAGGTGAAGACGTGCTGGTGGTCTCAGCCGGACTTCCGCGTGATCGGAGACTACATGAAGGACAAGTACGACAGCGCCTCGGAGATGGTGGTGGAGAAACACAGGGAATCCCGTGGCTGGGTGGAAACCCTGCGGCCCAAATATGCCTACTTCAAACCCCCCACCGAGACAGACCTGGTCTACTACGAGAGCTCGCCCAACTTCTGCGAGCCCAACCCGGAGACGGGCTCCTTCGGCACACGTGACCGCGTGTGCAACCTGACATCTCACGGCATCGACGGCTGCGACCTGCTGTGCTGCGGCAGGGGACACAACACCAGGACTGAGAAACGCAAGGAGAAATGTCACTGCATCTTCCACTGGTGCTGCTACGTCAGCTGTCAGGAGTGTACGCGCATCTATGACGTCCACACCTGCAAGTAGGTCCCTGTAGCTAACTAGCTGCCCCCCCCAAAAAAAAACAAAACAAGACTGCCACGAAGAAAAGAGACCAGGTTTGATGTTCCCCTGGGAGTCTTCTGCTGAAAAGTGTTGTGGATTACGACCGACAGGTCAGGCGGAGGTTGTCGTAGGTCCACAAACCCAACAAGCACTAAAAAAGGAAGGGTGATGGCACCTTTTTACATGCTAGCCTCTTTCAGAGACACTGCATTCACCAACAAAGGAACTCGTTCCCAATGGGATTCCCTTGTAAGGATGGCTCGAGCCGCGGGCCTAACTCTCTGAGGGACTATTCTTTTACCAGGGTGCGGAGTGGGAGGGGGTGAAAGGGGTGGATTGGGGTTTTAAACAAGAAAAATAGGCCCTGGAGACCTCAGCGATTGTGCCGAGGAGAAAAAGAGCAAGAAAAGCTAGGAGGAAAAGAGGTCTTGTACTGGCACGTGGCACTCCGGATCACTCCGGAAGACCTTCCCTCTGCCGCAAAAGCTGAGGCACTGTAGAGTAGCTAAGCCTATACAGTGCTCATTCTCTGCTAGCGTTAGCATTAGTCTCCTTGCTAACACCATTAAAAAGCTATTAGTGCCAATTCTTAGTGGCTCCAACGTTTTTGTTTAATATCGTTTTGAAGAAACATAGTAAATTACATGTTAGATGTTGTGTGAGTATGTGCGTGTCTGTGAGAGTGACCAAACAACTGGAGCGAGGAAACAGGTCGAGTACGCTGTTAACAGGTTACTAATTAGGTTATGAATGCACTTGTGCCCGAGCGAACGTTACATATTTGTCAGTTTCTCTGAATTCGCCTGTTTGTTTTATGAATCATAACTGGACGTCACTGTTCAATAACTCCAGCCCTGCTCGGCTAGCGGTGAGCAAATGTCTGACAATGTCACGACTCTGCCCTCTTTGAATATTTCTGTCTAGACCTTCAGCTGTAAGGAACAGGTTATAAATCTAAAGCAGCGGGAAACTTTGTTCTGACCTGTTTGCACTAGTTTTGTCCAAAGACAAATGACTAATTTGGTTCATTATCTATTAGACGGTCTTCCGGCACTTCGGCTGGAGGCTCATTCGCGCGTAACAGTATTAATGAATTTTCACAGAGCTGCTTTCCAGAGCAGATACATGGACTAAACCTGACCTTTTACCCCGAGGACACACTGGAAATGGATGAACACTGGAGTCCAGAGAGATTTGTGAAGAAAATGTGTATTAGGGCTCCACAATATGGACAAAATGCTAACACTGAGATTAAATTGAAACTATTTTGAAACACTTCGGTGAATCAGTAATGTGGCAAAGACTGGCCTGTGTTTTACCAAAATAACTGGCTTTTGTAGCATTACAGGATCTGGAGCTGTGATTGGTCAGAGGGCTCATTCGCTTATTTACAAAAGCCAATATAGCAGCTGATATATTGAGCATTCCTACTCTGTGTATCGTAGCTGGCCCAGTTTCCCAAAAGCATCTTATGTTAGTCATCTTAACTGGTGGAGAGAGAGTGTTCAGCATGATGCTCGCTCTACCACTTAAGAATCAACATTGTGCTGAGATGCTTTTGAGAAACCCAGCCACTGTCAGGACAAAACCGCAAATTTTCGCTGTTTTCGGAATGTGAAAATGCCATTTTATACGAGATGTTAAATGTTATGATGATGATGATACATGGACCTGTAGAAATGGTCCAAATATGGCTTGAAAAAAATTCTATTAATGTTCTTTTTTTTTCAAATTGAGAACGTTACCATTACCATTTTGAAGATCTATTTTATCCTGACAGCAACCGTATATAGTAATATACATATTAGGACTGTCAAAATTAGCATTTTAACAAAACAATAAACACTTTTTTAAACTGCATTAACTAATTTTCCTAGTTTGACCCTTTGACCTGTCCATAATAGTACATGCTGAGGTCCAGCTGCAGTGTAGAACCCATGATTGTAGCGCTCTCATTTCACGAGCTGTATGAATGAGAGGGAGAGATGCAATCACAGAGGGGCTGAACCACTGACTGTATATATGATATATATGATATATATACGCTCAGTGGTTGGAACGTGCAGACACTGTTGCTCTCACTGGATATCAGTGATGAAGACGGGAAACTGTTCACTCTGTAAAGACCACATGATGTTCTTGTTCAGGTTCTGCATTCAAAAAATGCGTTGCTTTCTAAATGGAATAACATCTCTTTGGAGTCAAACTTGAGCAAATAATACAAAATAGATTAATGATATTAATCACATTAACTACACAGAATAATGTAGTTTAACTGTTTCTAATTATTTAGCAGCCCTAATATATACACCGATCAGCCATTACATTCTGACCACCTCCTTGTTTCTACGCTCATTGTCCATTTTATCAGCTCCACTTACTATATAGGTGCACTTTGTAGTTCTACAGTTACAGACTGTAGTCCATCTGTTTCTCTGATACTTTGTTAGCCCCCTTTTACCCTGTTCTTCAGTGGTCAGGACCCCCATGGACCCTCACAGAGCAGGTACTATTTGGGTGGTGGATCATTCTCAGCACTGCAGTAACACTGACGTGGTGGTGGTGGTGTGTTAGTGTGTGTTGTGCTGGTCTGAGTGGATCAGACACAGCAGTGCTGCTAGAGTTTTTAAACACTGTGTCCACTCACTGTCCACTCTATTAGACACTCCTACCTTGTCAGTCCACCCTGTAGATGTAAAGTCAGAGACGATAGCTCATCTGCTGCTGCACAGTTTGTGTTGGTCATCCTCAAGTCCTTTATCAGTGGTCACAGGACGCTGCCCACAGGACGCTGCTGGCTGAGGTGTTTAAAAACTCCAGCAGCACTGCTGTGTCTGATCCACTCAGATCAGCGCAACACACACTAACACACACCACCACCACGTCAGTGTTACTGCAGTGCTGAGAATGATCCCACCACCCAAATAGTACCTGCTCTGTGAGGGTCCATGGGGGTCCTGACCACTGAAGAACAGGGTAAAAGGGGGCTAACAAAGTATCAGAGAAACAGATGGACTACAGTCTGTAACTGTAGAACTACAAAGTGACCCTATATAGTAAGTGGAGCTGATAAAATGGACAATGAGCGTAGAAACAAGGAGGTGGTCAGAATGTTATGCCTGACCGGTGTATATATGTGGAGCTCAGCTAGGTTGTCTTCTTTATTTTGTTTATCCTACTGAAATGCTGCAATAATCTGTGGTACACACTTTAAAAAGATGGTGCTTCAAGGGTTTTAGTTTTTGGGGGTTTTACCACGAAGACCTAAAGACCCCTTTGCCTGATTAAAGGGTTCTTTGCATGGGGAAATGAGATTGACCATCATCAGATTGATGGACAATATGCTGTATATGGTTCTATAAAGAACCTATTTGAAAGGGGTTCTAAATAACACCAAAACAGGTTCTTGTATTGCTACAAGCCTGACATCGTAAGAACAGCAGTGCCCTTTCTGATGCGGTATAGAACCTTGTTTGTTTACTGAAGAACCCTTGAATGAGCGTCTTGTTTAGAGGGTGTGGTTCTCTTCTCGCCTCCATGCTGTGAAATAACGTTGTGAATGTGCTTCTGGCTTTGCGATTAACACAGTTAGCTCATCTCGTCAGCGTCCTCGATCGCGTGTGTGAGACTCGGCAGCGTTAGAGTGGTTTAACACTGACTTCTCCTCATCTGTGTGCTGCTAACTGACCACAGCTGTGTGTACATATCCAACCGTAGTGTTTCAGTGTTCGTGAGTAGCCGCTAGCGTGTCCGTGAGAGTGTGTGTGTCTGAAATCTCTTCTTTCTGTGAAAGACTACGTGTAGACATAGTTATGAACTAAAATGTGAAGTTTTCTTCTACTAATTCAGTTGCGTTTAGAGTTTGCTTTGCTCAGCCAAACGGACGAATGCTAACAGTTTCATTACCATCACTTTAATGGATTTGGTTATAAAGTACAGTCACGCTGGACATCTTCAGAGCTGACCGCTGATTCAGAAACACTGAGATTCCAGATTTCTAGTACAGTGATAACATTTCCAGAGAAATGCCTCATAACACTGACATAACTGAGCGCAATCTTTCATAAACAGCTTATACCCTCTGCTATGACATGTTTATAACATGGTTATGTCAGTGTTATGCAGCAGAATTCAAGAAAAGTAGATTTCAAGGAAATTTCAATGAAAATGTTTAACTTTACCTTAAATATGCTGCAAAACGGAATTTAATTATTTAAAATGGTATATTTTCACTGTCATAAAGCCTCATTTTCAATGTTATCTGTACAGTAGAAGGAAAAGAATCTACATTAATGTTAATCAGAGATGGCACTGTTTCGTTACTGTGTATCTGTATTGGGCTGATATCAGCAGAAGAATGTTATCTGACAGAAAAGAGAACAAATTAAACCCAATTTGCTCACAAATTCAGCCTAAAAATAACACAGAATTGTTTATACGCTGTAAAAATGTTGTGAGATTTGATTCTAAAAAGTTACTGGGCTGCCTTACAATTTAGAATGAATTTAATTTGAATAGTAACGTAACAGAACAAGAATCTGCGTTTTGTGCTCTGTCAGTTTATTATTTGAAGTTGAAAATATTAAAGTATTACATTTTAAATTTTTTTCACAGAAACGGTTCTTTAATGAATCATCCATTTGAGTCATCCCGCCATTCAGTCACATAACGATTCGATTCAGTTATGATTCTTTAGGAAATTATTTAGTGAATCACGAAATCTCACATTTCACCACAACTCAATTAAAGTCAATTACGATTCTTTAGAAAATGATTCAGTGAACCATTGAATCTTAATTTTTTACCCAGATTCAAAAGGAAACAATTCATTGAATCACGAAATCTCACATTTCACTGCAATTTACTTGAATCTAATCATGAATTCTTAAATTTCACCATAATTAAATCCAAATTTGATTCTTTAGGAAACAATTCAGTAAATCATGAATTCTTACATTTCACCACAATTTAATTAATTAATTAATTTTATGTTGTAGCAAAACATAAAACTAACAACAGTAACCACAGTAACAATAAGGATCAGTACTTTATTGAGTATTTTGATCATGATAAATAACAGCCACAACCACAATTTGATTTAATTCATGATATCCAATTCACAATTCAAAATTCTGACAATGTTTTGAGCAAAATTTGAAGAATTTGAGGAAATCATTAGAAACAGCATTTAAAAACATGGTTCTTCAAGTGTTCTTTGGCAACAGTGGTGGTTTTATACAGAACTGTGAACGTTCAAAAACTTTAGGGGGTAAAATGATGAAAAACATGTTGAAAATGTT